ACTTTGTTATTGTGGGGTATTTTGTTAAATTATGCTAATTCATTCCTAATACAATACACCTTCTGTTGTGTAATATTACGGCTCCCCGGTGATAATTTACGTGCTAGGATATTTTTTTATATTTTGAAAAGTTGAGATATTTTTTTTATATATGGCAAAAGTTGGGCATTTTTTTTATTAACTTAAGATGGTGTAAGACCACACAACGTCCATTGTCCAACCGCAAAATGAGCTGTGATAGCGTCGAGGCGTTTAATAGTGTAGAGCGGACGCTAGAGGCAGTGGAAGAGCACCTCGCTATATTGAAGCGCAGTAATGTCGAAGATCTGATGGTGCCATTAAATTCGCTGGAACGAGCAAAAATGCAAGTTCTGCTAGGTACGTAATCAACTATATGTCCTCCTCTTGTTAAAATGATGACATCGACTTATCCTCGCAACTTCGCCAGCATACACCATCAATGCGCTTCTTTTTATCTATTTGAAAACACAGGGTGTTTCGGCCAAAGATATTCGTCAGTCCCACGTGAAGAAAGAACTTGTGCGGAGGCATTTAGATTTTATTAAGAAAATGGCTTCACGAGTATACTGACATGCTTTGTTGCAACAATGATTCAGGAGCGGGTAAAAGCTTTCATCAAGAAATTAAAGGACGCGGAGGATAAAGCCAAGGGGCCTAGACTCGTGCTCGATAAAGACGCAACACAGCGCTTCATCCATAGTGCTCTAAGCGCGGATCAAGCGTATGTAAATGCTGTAAAGGGAGAAAACAATAGCAACGATACGAAGAACGAAATGAATATGGAAGCAAGCAACCAAGGAAAGCGGAAGCTCAAGAAATCCACTGCTAAAAAGAGTAAACGGCAACGGAAGAATTAGGTGATACTTTTACCGAATTTAGTAACTGTCAGTCTTTGAGGATGCCTATTGACTGTATGCTTTGTCTTGATGAAAGGTTGTTCCCGCGAGTTACCAGCACACTTTCGTCCTGCTTGAGCGACTGTACCCTACGGCATATGGTGTCCATGCAGACCGCTTTGATATAAAGTGGAATCATAGGTTACGTGTGAGCCACAATGCATGGCTCAAAAACAATCTGGCTCCATTACCCAAGCATCTTGCTTGATAATGTATTTTAGCCTCGCCAGATATTGTGTCGCAACCTAGTGGGTGGGAAACCATTTTTTGTAGCTTGTTTGCGTGTTGCGTTTAATTCTTATTAGTTATTGCAATTCTGACTGGCATGTAAAGTATCTAGATATTGATAAATTTTTGGTATTGATATACGCCAAACAGCCAATCATTTTGCAAAAAGTGAACTTGCCACAAGGACGAGGGGTGCATGCTGCGAGACGCAAAATTCCGGCAGTACCTGCTGATGGCCCTTCTTGTTCTACTATGTGACCGTTGACACAAATGCGTGGTCTTGAAGACCTTGGACCAGAATTGCAGCGTGATCAAGGTACGCAAGAGTATTGCATGCTATAATTCAAATAAATGCGCGCACGGGGATATAGACCTCGCTGGCTCCAAATGATAATGCGAACAGATAAAAGAGTGGGCGCCCGGCTTTTCCGAACCCCGCTGATCAAAAACTCAGGAGAACTACTGCCTATGATCTTAGTATGATGGAGTCCAACCAGCTCTCTAATGCGCAACGTATGTTTAAGGTGAAATGAAGCAAATGCTTGATAGTATTCTGTTACTGTAAAGGCAATTTTCCATTCACAAGCGTAGAGATTCCCAGACTTGATGTTGCCTCATCTACCAATATCCTCTTCTGTCAGGTTCTGCGAGCGATGAATCCATAACTCGCGTTTCGAGTATATCAATGCGATCAAACGATTTTTCGTTGATCAAAGGCTTTTGGTGTATGTGAGGGAAATTTATTTGGTAAACCGTGTACAGAAGAGATGCGTGCAAGGTGTAAAACGTAATGTGCAAATCAACACTAGAATTCATTGTGTTTTTGAGCTTTCGAACAGCAGACGAACCGAAAGTTTTGCTGGATAATCTCCTGCGTAAAAACTTCTGTGGCTGCAGAGTCCACGTAAGGTTGATTTTTACGCGCTTAGATGAAAAATTTGTAAACGTAGAATGTTTTGCCTTCTAGTAGTGCTCATTTCCTAGACGCAAAAAACGTTTATCATTGGCTGCCCACAGCTAAATCATGGATACCTTGGTCTTGGTCTTGACATGCTTATACTCCATGATGAATTCACGTCTTTGTAGCGTGCAAGCCTCCATTATTGTACCCGCCAGACGACACGTATGTATTAGTATCTGCTTACGCGAATATATGATTTGTGTTTTTTATTCAGAATCCATCTATGAATGAAGAATTACTCAGCCCTTCGATGAATCACTAACTGTAATCTTGTGTACGTTACCCTACAATTGAGTTTAAATAGTTATCAGAAATATCGATATGTAAAAAGTGGAACAACAGGAAAAGTCATCGAAGCAAAGACCTCCAAATATAGAGGGGTGACACAGACGAGTAAAACGTCGTGGGGTGCCAAGTACAGCGCAAAACGCATTACTAATACGTGCAAGACACCAGAGGAGGCGGCGTACGCATATGATGAATATCTCAAGAA